TCTATCTATCTATCTATCTATCTATCTATCTATCTATCTATCTATCTATCTATCTATCTATCTATCTATCTAATGAATGTGCAGACACTTACAGAGAGGCCGGGGATGGGGCAGATTCCTTGGAGGTGGTTATAAGAGTCCTGATGCAGGTGCTGGGAACAAATTTTGGGTTCTCTATGAGAAAAGACAGTGTCTTACCAAGTGAGCCATCTTTCCAGCCCAATATCACTAATTTAAGTGATAAAACTGCAATAGCCAGAGTAAATTTCAGTGTGCCAGATGTTTCTCATTAATATATCTGCATTTACTCTCAGAACCTTTGCACAAACCTCTAATCTTCTATTTTTCTATATATCTTTTTTCTTTACCAATAACTTGCTCATGCTAAAAAACCTAGTTTAAAATAACAATCCATAGACTTCCTAGCCCCCTCTTTCTTCTACTCCCCACACTCCTTTTTTTGAGACAGATTTTAAGTTTTTACTAAGCTGTTAAAAAAAAGGGGGGTTGTAATTTTCTTTTCTTTCTTGTTTTGTTTTGTTTTAAGTCAGGGTTTCTCTGTGTAGCCTTGGTGTCCTAAACTTGCTTTGCAGACCAGGCTGGCCTCGAACTCACAGTGATTTGCCTGCCTCTGGTTCCCAGAGTGCTGGGATTATAGGTGTGCACCATGGCACCTGGCTCCAATTTTTTTTTTTTTTAACTAGGGAGCTGGGAGGATAGTGAGTTCCAAGCCAGACAGAGTCTCTCTGTATGTGTACATGGTTGAATAGATGATATATTTCTCTGCCAGCAATAAAATATAATTATTAAAAACACTTCCATACAAATCAATTCAATAATGCTAAATCTCATGGAAAGGAATATTTTCAGTACTGAATATCACACCACACTAAAGAGACTCATTAGGGCCAGAGGGTCTTTTACTGTTTGGGGAATAAAGACGAGAGGAACAAAGATTTTAAGTCCACTAAACAAAAACAGGACCTGTAAGAAAGGTCTGTTGGATTACTCTAGGATTCTGCCATAATAAAGCCATTTTAAAAGTACCAAGTATGAGCTGTGCAGGAAAACCTAACCCCTCACAGAATGTTCCACCATATCTGCTGTTAATTTATCCACATGTCATTGGCCACAGACTCTACTCCTTATAGCACTGTGGTAGAAATCAACATACTTATGAGCACAACAGTAATGTTATGCACAATTTTTGTTTCAGATTCTAGCAAGACTTAACTATTGCTCATCTCTACCCCACTCTTCTTTCTCCCTCCCTCTCTTTTTGAGGCAAGGTCTCACATTGTCCTGCCTGGTCTGAGCTCACTATATAGACCAGACTAGTCTCAAACTCAAGAGCACAACCTACCTCTGCCTGGGATTAAAGGTGTGCATTTGCCAAGTGAACCATTTTTCCAGCCCAGAATTACTAATTTAAGTGATAAAACTGCAACACCTAGAGTAAATTCCACAGCATATTAAAGTTCAGCTTCTACTTTTTATATATTCTTTTGAAAAATCTTGTGAAAAGTACAGATCTCCCCAGATAAAAACACACAAAATAAAAATATGTATTGAAAACCTGGCATATACTGGAGGCTTGGAAGACATTTAAATATATACTGAAACCTGTGCACGGTCTGAGAGTCATAAAAACCCTTATACTAATATAGTTTATGAGAACCTACCATATGTGTATATAAAAGATTCTTAAGAAATGGGTCTTTTACTTGAATGTGTATCTGTATACCACATGTATGTCTGGTGCCCAAGGAGGTCAGATGAGGGTACTGGATCTGTTGGAACTAGAGTTTCAGATGGTTGTGAGCTGCCATGTGGGTGCTGGGAACAGAACCTAGTCTTCTGCAAGAGCAAGTGCTCCTCTTTAGCCCTGGAAATGCTTTTCTCTTTTCTATTTAAGCCAACTATACTGCTAGTGTCCTTAAAACAAAACAAAACAAAAAAAAGTCACACTACTGGCAAAAACAATAGAAAATGGCTTTAATCACACAGAGTCACAGGTGCTGGCTAAGTATAAAGTAAATAACTGCACAGGTGATTCAGGTGTATCTACATTGAAGGGTTTTTAACTGGCTAGTCAGTGACTAACCTTACATAACAGCTCCTAAAGAATGATCAACACCAGGGTATATGCTTTTGTTCCTAGCGCTTGGGAGACAGGCAGGAGGATCTCTCTGAATTCCAGGCCTGCCTGGTCTACACAGTGAATTAATTCTAGGCTAGCCAGAATAAAACAACCCAAACCTTAAACCGTAACAAAATTTTCTTTCCTTGCTGAGTGTGGTGGTGCATGCCTGTAAGCCCAGCACTCAGTGAGGCAGGGGCTGTGAGTTCTAGGCCAGCCTGGTCTACAAAGCGAGTCCAAGACAGCCAAGGCTACACAGGAAAACCCTGCCTCGAAAAGCCAAAAATATAATAAAATTATATAGATATATATATGTATTTTTTTTTCCTTTAAAGTTTCCACATAGTTGTTACGGAGCCAATCTGCTAGTTTAGAGTATAAAAACAAGGAGAAAACGAGCCTCTCAGTAAGACATATCAAGCTGTGCTGACCAAAGCAACATTTTCAGATTGACACAGTAAGGCAACGGTGACACAACAGGCATGCTATAAATATGTATATATTTGTATTCTGTCTCATGCAGTTTATTGTTATTCTAAAAAGGCCTCCTCTTGGAATTTTATCTGATTTTATTACCCATTGTGGAACAAGATGGGTTTGCTTTCCACCTCCTTTGTTTTGTTTTTGAGACAGGGTCTCTCGTATCTCAAGCTGGCCCCAAACTCGCTATGCAGCTGAGGTGACTATGACCTTCAGACCCCCTGTCTGCAGCCTAAGTACAGGGTTACAGGCGTGTACACCACTCAGCACTCCTGGTTCTACCGCGCTGCAATGAACCAACCACTCTGTGCACGCTAGGCAAGCGTGCTACCAACGTGCAATATCCTCAGCTCTCAAAGCTCACTTGTGCATGTGTGCCTGTGTGCTTGGATAGAGGTCAGAGATGGACACAGGGTATCTTTCTCAGTCACTCCCCGCCTTAGTTTTTGAGACAGGGTTTCTTGGAGTCTGGAATTCACCAACCCTGCTAGACTGGCTGGCCAGCAGAGGGATCAATCGTCTTTCCTCTGCCAGTCCTGGGATTACAGGTGCGTGCTGCTACACTTGCCTTTTTACATGGGATGCCAGGAATCAAACTCAAGTCCTCAGGCTTATGTGGGAAGCACCTTACCAAAGTCATTTCCCCAACCCCTCACAGTTGACGTAAAAGATGAAAAATTAGATTGACTTTATTTTAAGTGTATTATTGTTTGGTTTGAAAGTATTTATCTGTGTCACGTGTGTGCATATAAATGTGTGTGTCCAGGGAAGTCAGAAGACGGCACTAAATCCCTGGAACTGGAAGTCATGGAAGGTTGTGAGTCACCATATGGGTTCTGAGAACCAAACCCAGGTTCTCTATAAAAGCAACAAGTGTTCTTAACTCCAAGCCAGCTCTCTAACCCCTCAAAGTTAATTTTATTTTCTCCTTTCTTCCCTTCCTTCCTCCCTCCTTTTTCCCTTCCTTCCTTCCTTCTGAGCTAAATCCTCAACCCTGAAGTTTATTTTCTAATTGTGCAAAATAATTGCTTTCATTATGTCATTTTTGTACATTGGCCAGGAACCACTGTCACTTTTGAGAAGACATGAGAATGAAGTCAAGCACACAAGACAATGGAGGAGGAGATCCCTTTAAATCTATAAACAGTATCCGCTGTAGTCTTGCAGTCGTCCTGCCTGCAAGCGTGTTGTAATCATCCTCTTTCAGCATTACCTTCCTCAAACACACTATCACCACTGGGAACACAAGACAAGAGCTCAAGGCTTGAGTTCAAATCCCGAACCAGCTGTGTCTTGAGTGAGTAACTCAATGAATCTTACAGAAATTTAACAGCAATTTCAGCTGTGTTGTCTAAAGACAGTTTCAAGTCTTCAAACTTTTTGTAGCCAGGTGTGGTAGCAATGTCTTTAACCCTAGAACTTGGCAGAAGGAGGCCCAAGGATCAGTAGTTCAAGACTAGCCTAGGCTTTGTGAAAACCTGTCTCAAAGGAAAAACACAAGAACCGTTTGTGCAGGGCTAGGGAGATGGGTTAGCTGGTAAAGTGCTTGCCTGGTGATCGTAAGGACTTGACTTTGGTCCTCAGAATCCATGTAAAAAGACAGGCATGGTGGTGCAGGCTTCTAATTCCAGGAAGCTGGTAGATTACAGAGTTTACTGGGTGACCAGCCAACCAGCCTACTGCCAAGAGAGCTTGTCTCAAAAAGGAAAAAGAAAAATTATGTGTAGTATGTGTGTGCATGTAAGATTCTGGTAAGAAAACATCTTAAGTTAAAACCTAACAAAGGAGTTAAATCAGCCTTTGGTCTATACCTACCTAGAAGACAGTCCAGGACTTTCGGGCCTAGAGTGTTATAGATGTATCTTCACACTACTCAGCTCACTTCCTGTGCTTACTACTTTGGGAAAACATCATGCATCCATTAAATATAATGGACGGCATACCTATCTTGTTGGCTACAGAACCCTGATTCCTTATAAAACAAGTGATATAAGGCTCAGCAGATGAAGTACTTGTTCCA